GTTGGAAGCATTTTATGGTTCAACCAGGCTCTTTGAGGTATTTGAAATGTAGGCTACATCTGCAAAAAAACAACAACACAACAACAACAACCCAACAACATAGAAATAAAAAAATAAATAAAAAAACAGATGTTTAAACTTGACAGTCTATTCCTTTAAAATGCACGTATGCATGCAAAATACAATGCTTACATATTTTAAGAGTGGTTGTTTTGTAACTTTTCACTAGCCTCTTGTGTTAATGTTTGGGACCATTCTATAACATTTGGAAAAACTGATAACAATTAATTAGTTAAAATGATAGCCAAACATTTGTCTTTTTTATTTTGCCATGACCATATTCACAGAGTTTGTTTTTTTAAGAGACAGTCTGCGTCTCTGACTGTATTTATTCATTTTTTCCCAAAGAAGGCCGAGGATATTGCCCCTTTTCAGGTGTAGTGATAGATTTGTAAGGCGTATTGTGCCCCTTAAACAGTGTAGTTGTGTGTTGAGCTGCTTTTTGTGACCAATAAAAAGTGATTTGTAATAAACTGATTTGTTATTGTTATTTAAATTTATTTTTTGTTGTGTCAAAACAGTAAGAGTCTTGTTCTTGTCTTAGTTCATAGTTCACGAAATGTAGTGTCACCATCATAACGACTTCTTTCTTCTGACTTTCAACTTAACAACACTGGAACAAGGTCTTCTTTTCTCTCGGGTGTTAATTTTTGAACGCTCTTGAAGCATCTTAAAATTTTCTCTAAACGTTGGGATTTTTTACGCCCCCATCGACACACCTCATTCTACTTCTTTCCAGTGTTGTTCTTGTCTTAGTTCCCAGTTTATGAAAAGTAGTATCACCATCATAGCGACTTCTTTCTCCTGACATTCAACTTTACAGCAGAGACACAGGGTCTTCTTTTCTCTCGAATTTATTATATTATTATGAAGATTGAGTTTTAAATGCTTTTGAAGCATCTTAAATTTTCTTTAATTGTATGAGTTTTTACGCCACCACGAGACAATTCAGATCATTTAGGGTATCCGATCCTTCCAGGGTTGACAGGGATACAACATCCCAACAGATTGACCTGAACACTCGATACATGTCTCCCCACTTGGGAATAGAACACCGCTACCCTGCACTCGAAGTGCTTAATCGCTATAAAACAGATGTCGGTTGTCTCTGTAGTTCTCAAAATATAGTGTCACCATCATGGGGATTTATTTCTCCTAACATTCAAACTAACGACACAGATACGGGTTGTTCTCTTCTTTCTAATTTGCTGCAGTGTGTGTGGTAAGCTTCGTGTGCTCTTGTAAAATACAAAGAAAAGAAACAGGGGGAGATAAGGACGACAGATGTTTGAAAGGAAAGGAGCAAACCTCACCCACAAAGAAAAGGAGGAGCATAACTATAAGGACGATATAATGTATGCTAGGAAAGAAGAAGCAAACCACACCCGCTCTCTAAAGAATATCTTTAAAAAAAAACAATACGAAAAACAATATGGGCCAACAACCAACTTTTAATTTAATTTGGAATGTTAACAATAACTGGCAGTATGCTTATTGTGAAGATTATACATTGAATTAGCAATTAATACGATTGAACCAATATTGTTTTATTCAAAACAAAACAAAAAATAATCATTGCATTTACTTATGTACATATACTATAATCTAAACCAGTGCTTGTCATCAACCTTTTTACAGCCAGCGCTGCACCCACTCTTGCTAGTCTTGCCACCTCTGGGAGATGGACAAACCGATCGCCCGATTTGCGGCCTGAAACCAAACCCATTTGTTTTTTATATTACTATACGGGGCGCCCATGGGGGGGATCGGGTCGGGTCGGGTCACTAGACAGATTGAGGGTGCAAAGCAGCTATCGTGGCACAAGCCGATAGCGCCTGACTTGTCGCCTAAAAAACAAATGCGACCCGACCCGATCCCATCCCCAATGGGCAGCCCGTATGCTGCGAGTCGGGCGGTCGGTTTGTGACACGATGGTCACTTTGAGCCCTCAACCTGGCTAGCCCCGCCTATCAAACCGAGCCAATCGTGCTAATGGGCACCCCGTCCATATACCGGTACTTGCTTTTCCATACGGAATACAAAAATAACAACTGTCACTACGCGTAGGATCGCCACCATGACCCAGTAAATATTAGGGGGGAAAGGAACAAAAGGGAAACAAAACAAAAGAAAAACGCCGTGACCAAATTGATGAGCTAACATTAGTCATGGTTAGAATACAGTCTTGCAGTGACATTTGACGAGATTGCCCTGGCCTCAGGTCAATACGGCACGTGTACCTTCTAAATCCTAAACAATTTTTAACACAATTACGTTAATTTTTATTCTTCTATAGTGGATGAATTGGGGGGGGGGGGGGGGGGGGGGCATGCGTATCTTCTTTTTGTTGAAGCTTTGCGATTTAGTGCTCCGTTGTTAAAAAACAAAAAGGTCAATCAGAAGGCAGAGCATGATGTGGCCCAGTGGTGAGCGTGGCGGAAAGGGGAAAAAAGACACGGGGCCTACTCGCTGCCGTAGAAGTCACACCAAATCAAAGATAGATCTAGAGATCTACGTAGATGTTCATCATGCGTGCATTTCTTGTTCACGATTTGAGTTTAGAGAAGTTGCACTAAAGGGCAAAGAGACCCCCCCCCCTCCCCCCAACTACCCAACCAACTGCAGAAAGGGGGGGGGTAAATTGAAATAGCAGTTGCAGGGTTACTGGGTGTGACGTAGCTCTTCTGACAGTTCCAAATATGTCATGTGCTATCTGGTTTAGCACTACACTACCGAGGGTAAGGAAAAAGAAACAATGATTCCATATATTTCGTCTTAAAGAAGTCTTAGATCTTTAGTCATTTACCCTTTGAGAAGGAGAATAATAATTGTATCTCAATAAAAACAGAACATAAATCTACGTTGAGATTTAGCATTTTATTCCCCTGATAATAGTAATAAACGAGAGTGTTTCTTCTCTATTGTGTTCAAGATCAACACAAGAACTTCTATTATATAAATATATATTATTATGCAGTAGTGAGTATAAGCTTGAGCAACAAATAATATAAATAATATAGCAGACAGTTTTCTTTACTCCACATTTTCCCCCAACACATTGATCAGAACAAAACACAGCCCAGGAAAACCAAAAAGCACCAGAAGCAGATTATGATTTCAATCAATGTTTTACACACCTATCGAAACAACTTACATCATTTAGGAGGCAGGCTTCTTTGATAATGACTTCTGTTGCCTGCTCTGCATTAGGTAAGAATATATGTGATGTTAATGTAATGGTTGCATGCAGAAGGTACGAGTTCTATTTCAGCAAGGGGAAGTTCACTTCGAGAGTCTCTATCGGTTTCTTCTCGGACAGTGTGTGCATGTCACTCAGTGAAGTCCATGTTGGTCCTGACGAGCAGGGTCGAAGCAGCCTGCTTTCAAAATGATCTAAACAGTGTCCGTAATTTTTTTTCTTAAATCAAAGTGTTTTCAATGCCCCATCGACATTATTTATTTAAATAATTTAGGAGCCAGGTTTTGACCATGCCTATCAGGGCCAACACACAATCAGATTGATACAACATCCAAGCATGAAAGAGCAAGATACTCGTTTAAAATTCTCCCCACTTGTGAATCAAACTCGCGTCTCCTGCAGGCGAAGTCGAAGTGCCTAACTGTTATGCCACAGACACTGGTTTTTGTGTCCATGGAGGTGTGTAAAACATTTCCAATCAGTTTTAACAATTCGCAAACCTGGCAATACACTAAGACAAAAAATGACATTCAAAATCAAAACAAGACAACTTACAACTACACTAAACAAATCTTTTGCATGTTATCTCCTTTCTGAGAGCTGAAACACACAATGTGCACTCGAAGACAGTCAAATCTCCTTATCACCAACCTTGGGACGAGCATGAAGTTAACGATGTAGAGGAGCTGGTCTTTGTTAAATAGCACTGACTGCCTAAAGTCAAAGGAAATGATTGTGCTGTGCGATATGTGTTTGAAAAGTGTCTTTTTTTAAAGTAAATTACATGTATCTGTATTTAGAATTTTAAGTCCTCTCTCTCTCTCTCTCTGTTTGTTTGCCAAATAAACTCAAGGGTGGAGGTGGCTATTTAAATTTAGGATTCCAGATGTTGACCGTTTCTCTCCAGACAAGCTCAAATGCACCACTGGAAATTTTGGATAACCCTGTGACATGTTTCTCTGTTACTTCTTTGGACCTCCTGTTAAATACTGAGCTTCAACTGTTTAATTGTTCGAGGGTTGTTTCCGTTGACTCTATCCGTAAAAAAACCAAAAACGAAATAATCGAGCTGGTTCAAGTCAGGGGAATACGGCCACCATTCATTTGTGAACTTTCGGCTTACAAGGTGTTCCCCAAACTTTTCTTACAACCATGCCAGGACCACTCTTGATGTTTCAGGCATGGACCCACCCAGCTGGAACCAGTCCTTCTAAACAAAATAACCCCCCTCTCATACCCTCCCCAAACTTCTCCCAAACTTTGTCAGCATGGAGACATATATATCTATCTGATGTTGTGGTCACAGTATTTACAGTCCTCGTTCTGAAACCTGAACAGGCTGACCATACCGCTGAAGCTGAACACTTTCAAAAAGTTGTAACGTTTAGCATTTAACAAAAATGGGGTTGAAATTTTTTTAACTTTACATTTCTTGAACATGAGTCAATTTTCTTCACACTTCATACTGACAAACCAGACGTCTCTTTGATTGAATTTTAAATGCATGAAATATGAAGTTTTGTTGAGACTGTTGCAAAGGCTACCTAGTCATTGCCCCTTAGATGGGTCTTTTTTTTTCAGACACCCTATAGTATGTTTTACAAAGAGGCATTCCTTTTCGTGCATAGGCAAAATCTAGTGGTAAGAGGGACAAGGGATAAAATGGGAGGTGGTACAATGTATAACAAGGTTTGACAGTAACCAGTTTTGTAACATGTAGACCAAGGAGACCAAAGATATCCAAAATTGTTTAATATTAATGAAAAAAGAAGCATTATACACGTTAACTTTATTAAACATTTAGTTCCATGAGACACCACATGAAAGCAAATAATCAAATCACAGCAAAGAATAGATATTATATTGCATCTCATAGATAACTGGTAAGTGTACGGGTTGAACATCACTTTCAACACAGTAAGATATAGTCTAGCAAGCACATGTCGAAATCAGTGGGACACGGAAATCTTTTCATTTCAGATAAATTTCGCTAAGGATATGTTTTAAAAACAAAGAATACACACATACAGTCAAACCCTGTTGTACTGCCCCCATTACACCGCCAGCCCCACTTACCACCAATTTTGTCAATGTACGAAAAGGAATGCCTATAAACATAGTATTTGCGTCATTATACATGTACCGCCATCCACCAACTGTTGTATAGTCTCTATTAAACTAATATGAATTTGTCCTGTTATACCACCAGCGAATAGGCCACCAGAGGCACACACAACACATGGTGCGCAGCACTCACTCAGTGGCTGCTCGATAATCTCTTTTCCGCTCATTTCTCTGCGAGTCTGGCCTATTTCTAGCATTTGTCGCCAATTCGCTCATAATTTACGCTGAAATGCTATTATTTTTAGTCTTTGACCAATTTTCCTTTAAAAATTGGAATTAAATTTTAAAGTCATCTGGAGAAACTTCAAAAGAACTGCATCACATCGGCCTGTCGGCAAAATATATAGTATCAACAGATATCAGCCCAGTGACCAAAAGGCTGGTTGGTGAACGTAAGGCTTCTAATCCTGTGTCATGACTCACAATACTAACTTACTAAGTGACAGGTTTGAGGCCGCCCCAATACTAATGAATATTGGGTAGAAAAGGTGTGCATCTACAGGGCCCTTTACACACATAACGTAGCCTAGTTTCTGATCTGACAGAATTTTCAAATTGAATTTGTGTAAAGTTCAGCTGGAGCTGTACATGTAATTGGTTGCTACTCCTTTTTCCCTGTGCATGGCAACCACACAAGGCTGATCTATCATCTAGATGAGTCGAGACTGGCCACAATGTCTCTGATCTCCACCATTAGTAAAGATGGTTATCAGTGAAATCCTGCTGTACTGCCAACTTCATGCTCATCCAAGGTAGGCGGTATAGCCAGGTTTGACTGTGTATGAAAAAATTTGGAACCTGAAAATCTGTTCGCTGTGTGCGTATTCGCTACATGCTTGCCAGACAGTATTTAAGGGTCAGGCTCAAATTTAACATCCTTTTCTAAAAAAATCCAACCAAGTGGGCAGACACCCTTGAAAACTTCCAAGTCCATTGGGGACTTGAACAAGGGCCTTCAGCACTATAGCCCATCATGATACAGGGTGACCACATAAAATTCTAACTCTAATATTCAAATAAGTATTTACTTCAAAAATCTGGAATCATAAAATTCAACTCTGCAAACAAAAGTTTACTTAATTTAAGCAGACATTTTGAAAAAGTAACTTTAAAAAAAAAAAAAAGACCAGAAATGGACTTTATTGAAAAAATGGAAACATAAAAACTGAAGCCAAAAATGTATATCGTATCACAGGCTATTCAAAATGTTTTGACACTTTTGTATCAAAGTCAAAGTTTATTACGCTTACATTTGACGTCAAGGTTTGCATAAAAATCTTAATCAGAGTGTTATTTCAAACGGTAGTGCTCAACATGTTTATCCTTCAACCATGAACCAGCATGCATTCCTTTATGAAAGTTGTCAATCACTTAGTGCACACAAGTTCTGGTCAGTGTAGCGAATTTGATTAGCATTGTTCATTCTCAACTAATCAAGTGTTTGAGGGTGTTGCTGGTGACGTTGTCCTCAAAGAACCCGTATAAAACGAAAATTCAGTGTCACCCTGTACTAGATGAGCTAATAGTAATATTAAACCAAATGCCTGACGAATGTTTTAAAAAAGGTGAAGCATGTCGAGCAAAGCCCTGATACAAAGTGTTACCTCATAATATTATAAACATAAGGTGTGATAACATACCTCAGATCTTAATGTAGCAAAACAGTAAGAAATTTAAAGAAAATTAAAAAGCTAAATTAGGAATATACAAAAGAATAAATATATAGAAGAAATCTATACATGTAGTAACTATCAAGTACATGCAGTATTTGTATGTATAGTTCCGACCAGCAGAACAGGAAAGGCTCATAGAGTAGCCTTCATACAAAATAGAAATTTGTAGAGATAGATATATGTAACAATCCCACAAAGATAAGTTTAAAAAATAACAATACATAGTACAGTGAGGCACAGATAACTCAAACACATTAACGGTTTGACAAATGAGTTCGACACACATATATAATTCGGATTAACCGCTGACGAAAAAGTTGAGAGATAACAAGTCAGGGAATTGCAAATTGCATGATGAGCTATCCGTGATTTTGAGTTTTGGGTGTTCCTGTTATCTGTGCCCAACTGTGTGTACAATTGTATATTGTTTAAAATACAAAAAAACGCAACTTCCAGCAATGTGCAGCTTGCCAGTGCATTCAGAAGAACTCATCATCCTGGAAAGGTTTATCTGGTAAGAAGGTGAAGAAAAATAGAAAACAAAAATGTTTAAAAAATGAGCAATATTAAAAGAATAACAAAACTTTGATGATTTACATTGTGTAGGTCTTAAAGGTTAAAATAAGATCACCTATCCATAACTGTTTACTCTTCTGAGAAAAAAAAAAAGAAATCAAGAGGAGTCAATTTAAACCAAATTGCAGGATTTTCACATTTTTTTTCGGTTTAGATGAGATAAGATAAGATTTTAATGATCTCCACAAAGAGAAATATACTGCGGCATCATGGTATATACACACACGCACACACATACACACACACACACGCATGCACGAATACATACACATGATTTTCTCAGAAAATATAGCCTCTAGTTAGCCTTTTTCTTTTTTACAATACAGTAAATAATATGTTCGTACTAGGACGGCTTATTGTCTGTACTGGTTCCACAGCATCTGTAAGCCTGGGTGACCTCGGCAATCTCACAATAAATTTCTAAAGCGAGAAAATTTTGGTCAGATTATCTTAAAAAAATTTTAATGGATTTCTTTGGTTTTACTAAGTCATCCCCATACTATTTAACAAATATATTCTTTTCCTCAAAATATACTTTGTTGCAATGAATGACACCTGACTTGGTGGAATCATCAGCAGATTTAAAAATAGTTTCTGTCCCAGATGTACAGACAGAGTTCATTGTGGTTTAGATATATTGATAAAATAGCGAAGAAGAAAAATCAGAGACTATTCTTTTTCGATTTACAGCCAAGTTTGGTTTGAGCAGACTCTATTATATTAAAGTATTAGTACAATGAGCGTTAAGCAGCGGAAACATATTGCAGGGTCAAAATATCTTGAAATTACAAGTGGCTTCTGAAGATACAACATGGTTGTAAGAGTGAAAGAGAGAGAGAGAGACAGAGAGAGAGAGAGAGAGAGAGAGAGAGAGAGAGAGACAGACAGACAGACAGACAGACAGACAGACAGACAGACAGACAGACAGACTGACAGACAGACAGAGAAAAGAAAGTAACCAATTTAATTCATAAACAACTCACCTGAAGAGGCATTTTGAGCTGATTTATCAAGACTGGCCTCTTTAGCGGACTGAAGTCTTCTGAATATAATACCAGCATGTCCCTCAGAACTTGAAGAACTGGCTGAATCTTTTACCCACTCTGTAAATAAAGAAAACAACAATAACAATAATAATAAAAATGATGATGATGAAAATGATAACAATAATAAAAATAATAACAACAATTATAATTGTCATTACAGTAAAATTAATCATCATTCTGCTGCTGCTGTACTGGTGATAATAATAATAATAATAAATTAGATATAAATTTCTAAAATGTAAACAACTTCTAGAGATCGCAGATCCAGGTACTTCACTTTTTATCTAAACAAGCTGATAGGTGTGACAAACCCAAAAACAATTTATATAATATTCCAAAATATTGTCAGCTATTTAGGGAAGAGATTAGAAATAATTCCCATTACCTAAAGCACATGCACTCCTTTGAAACAAAACAAACCCACCCACAAGCAAAGGGGCTATTCCACAGAAACTGACGGGACATCTGGACTATATTTTTATTACTATGATTCAAAATCAATAAATTTACTTTAACTTCAAAAGATTAAAACACTTGAAAGACACATTAAGAATTATATCAAATGCAGTCATTTGATAAGAAAAACACTTTATGCAAATCCTGTGATATGTTTAGTTTCAGTAACTGACAGGACAGGAAAAATACATGTACCTAACTTGTCCCGTCAGTTAGTGAAACTACACACGTCTCAAAATTCGCATAAAGTACTTTATTTTTCAAATGACTTATTTAATATGGTTGTTAATATGTCTTTCAAATGCTCTGATTATTTAAAGCGGAAATAAATAAATTGATATTGAATTACAGTGTTATGATGTTATCATTGTAAGAAAATATAGTTCAAATGTCCCGTCAGGTACTGTGGAATAGCCCAAAGTCAAATTTTACAGACTTTTATATACATGTAATAGTTCATCAACATTACATAACACAAAATATTGCATCAATAGAGACAGTCAACATGCAACTGCTAGTCACCACTGTGAAGGTTATGATTTTCGTCAGCTAAACTTATCTTGTCTTGCTCAAGGAAACACCCCAGTGACCACCCATTCATAATAAAATAGACTTTTACGAATCAAATTCATGCCTCTTACGAGAAACGGCAAGGACCTTCACCATCACATCACAGACGGTGGTACACATGAACTATGGTAATAACAAAAACCATCAATAAGCACATGGCATCAACACCCAAAGAAGGTATCATCTCAGTGGGAGATTTTTCAAATGTAACGTTACATATGACGTTCCCTATTCACCAAAATGTCATGTGCCCTACCCAAAAAGACAAGACAGTTCAATGGTGTTGGGCACAAACAAGACAAGACAGTTCAATGGTGTTGGGCACAAACAAGACAAGACAGTTCAATGGTGTTGGGCACAAACAAGCCAAGTTCAAGCAAGCAAATTTTTCAAGGGAAGCAAAAAATAGTATAAATGCAAATAATCAAACCTTAAGTCACCATGATTTGAACATGTGTTTAAAGGGATAGGAAGTGTTACTTAAGCTAGATATAGGTACACCTTATGCAGGATTTATTTAATACAGAAAAACAGTGTTGAAAAAATAACTCGGGACATCTAGGGTTTGGGACATTTTGTGCCCGAAACCATTGAATTGACCTTTTTTAAAGTCACATGTCACAAGCGTACATAAATGCAAAACTGAGCCATGGCTTGGAGATCCTGACTGCAATGATGAACATTATGTCAGACTTAAGATCATAACTTTATAAAAGGTGAACAACTTCTAGAGAGAAGGCTCTAGGCCCTTCACACTTTATGTTAACAAGCTGACAGGTGTGACAAACCCAATAACAATAATTATAATATTCTGAAATATTCTCAGCTTTTGGAGAAGAGGTTAGAGGGAATTCTCATTATGTAACCAGTGAGAATAAAATTTCTGTATGGGATGAAACTGTTTCTTAATAAATCTAATCAATACACAAAAAACTCAAATATTCGGAAAATAATAAAAAGACAATGACTCACAAGAGAAAATTATAATGGTTTAAGTAAAGAAGGCAAATGAGGAGGGGAAGATCAAGAAGAGGATGGGAATGAGGCAGCAGTAAACGGATTAAAGCATATAATATCACCAGAGTTAGGAGGCAGAAAATGGTAAAACACTGCTTGATCATCATGAATGAGACACCAAAACAGAGAAATGGAAAGACGATGACAGGGTGAAAAATCATGAAAAGGATTGAAAGACCGCTTTGCCTGGAAAGGCTGATCTGGCTCTTGCATTGTTCATGCAAAGACATTAATTGATTTAAAGAGTTACAAGAACATGCTTATCTCATAAACATTCTGCAAAGAAATAATTTTCTTGTACAAAAAAAAACAGTGATGCATTTTAGAAAGAATGAAAAGGGGGGCAATTTAAGTAGAGTCTGAATCCTTGTTACTGGAAAATGAAAAAAAAACATCCATGGGGAAAAAGTATTCACGGGCAAATGTAAAAAAAAAAAAGCAAAAAGGAGAAGCCAGTAAAATAAACAAAAGAAAACAACAAAAGAGGAGAAAAAAATTGTTTTTAAGAACGCCAAACACAATTGCAAAACAGTTCAAACAGAATGGCATTAAGATCATGCAGCACGGTTCGAAAACTGTGGAAGACATGAAAAATCAGCACCATAAAGCAGTGGACAAAAGAGAGATTTTAAAAAAGACAACCTTTGATGATCTGATTGCATTTGTCCCCCGATGTGATTGTTCTGATTTTAGCACTGAAATTTCAGAATTACGTAGTTGGTAACATGGTTGGGCCATGGAGTCGATGACTTTGTTTTGAATCCCTAAAAAAGCAGTCTTGAACTTGGGTCAATTGGGGAGTTTTCATGGCAAGGAATTTTGATCCGATCAGGGATGGATTTCAAATTCAGAGGTCCCACCTATTGTATATGTCCTTACAGTGTTGAAGAGTGCACTAAATCCATCCTCTTCCATACTCAAATTTCAAACATGGAAAGGTCACCTTTCCATGTCACTATCCCATAATAACGATGAAGCATCTCACATAAGTAAAAAACAAAACAAGCAAACTCTTCTTGTCTCTCTCCAAAACAAAGCCTGTGGAAGCAATGACTTCACAAACTATTAATAAATGCCAGGAAAAACTATCCCAAGTATTTTATTATTAACAGTGGAACCTGTTTAAATCGAAATTTAGGGACTGTCAGATTTTCTTCAGATTAGCCAGGTTTTTAGTTCAGAGGTTTCCCAAATAAAGGAAACATTGGGGATCTTCTTTTCTTTCGGTTTTCTGTTACTTTTTGGATCACCAATTTTCTGTTTAAGAGAACTCTGCTGTACTCCCTGTCATTTAAAACCCATTCAGTATTTGTATGACTGTATCATGGAAAAGTTGATATTAACACTTGTACCCACATGTTAGAGATTTCAGGAAAAAAATTTACTGCCAGAAGTGCCAGACGTCTAAACATCAATTTTATTTTATTGCTGAGAGAATCTCACTATCGCCTACTTATAGCAGCACGTGTTGTTCATAAGAACTTTTTTTGGGGGGTAAGTGTTTTACGGCGCTCGTAACTGCATACGGTCATATGAGCGTGCGGGACACATTAAACTTTTTCAGTTGGTAGGAAATTATGAATTTTGCTTGGGTGGTGGCCGAAGCCTACTCTTATTGACTTTAGACCACCAAGGGATCTTTAACGTGCGCAACTTGCACACAAGCCCTCCGAAATTTTTCGCCCTTGTCCGAGAAGGCTAGGTGTAGATCTTTCCTACCAGAAGATCAGGGGTGTGGCTGAAAGACAGCAGTAAGAAGGAGCCAAGGAGTAGCAGAAGAAAGGCTGCAGAAAGAGTCAGGAGCCCAGAAGAGGGGGCAAAGGAACTAGGACTTTGCAGTCATTGATGCATGTATTAAGTATTTTTTTTTAAACTTGGCAGCCAATCATAGACTTCAAAAGAAAAGGGAACTCACAATAAAATCTCAAGGAAAATAACAGAACGAGTAAACAATGCAAATATCTTGGCGGAAATTTCAGTGAAAAACAAGAATGGCAAACGCAAACATCAAGTGCACTCCCAAAAAAAATGAACAGCAGAATGCACAGAACAAGTTTCATCATGAAAACAGACTAACGTCTTCATTTACAAAGCATGTGTTGTCAGCAACATGACATGTTTGTCTGAGGTGGAAAAAAAAGAGGAAATGGAAAAAAGGAAGACCAAAGCAAGTTTGGGGAAAAAAGCATCTAGAATCTTGGATAGCAAACTTAATAATATTTATAGAATTTTGAAAAACCAAGCAAGGTGATAAGAATATTTGTCAGATATTAACAGACTTTACGCACCATTTTTTCCAACACATAAATTTTCCTGAACGTAGCAGGCAGGCAATCCATCTAGAAGCAAGCCGAGAGAGGTACAGGAAATCATTTTCACCTAATAGATAGCAACTCTCTGACTTCCATTTCTTGAATATATGTTCCGCACAATTTACCGATCGGAGCTTGCGCTGCGCGTTTTAACAATCGAGTAATTATTATTGTGCGGCAATCTTCTAAGATTGCGCTGTGTGTTTTAACGATTGTATAACTGTATCATTCTTGCAGGCTCTTCAGTTTCATACATTATTTTTAATTTCAATTTTATTTTCATATTTTTACATTTTTGAAAATATATGTGCATGTTCCTTGATGTGAGTAAAAGAATAACAATGGAAGTGAATTTAAAAAATAATTATTTAAAAATTAATAAATAAATTAAAACATACTTTGTGAATTTTGAGTTTGATACGTGGCATTGTATCATTCTTGTGAGCTATTCAAAATATAAAACATTAACACAATCTTCAGATTTCAGAGCAACGATATGATCATTGAAACGTGCGGTGCTAACTTAAGATTGCTGCACAATTATACGATAGTTTAAACGCGCGGAACATATAAATGCCATTTTTTTTGTTCATTAGTAGCAAGGTTATGTGGTTAGAAGTGGAAGAGGGAGTGAGTTAGTGACACAGATAGAAAAAGCACAAAATATATTGACAGAAAAAGAGAGAAGAGGTGGGGGGAGGGGGGAGATTGTGATGTTTTGATATGATACTACCAGAGAGAGAGACGAAGAGAGAGAGAGAAAGAGAATGAGACAGAGAGAGAGAGAGAGAGAGAGAGAGAGAGAGAGAGAGAGAGAGAGAGAGACTAGGGGGGAGGAGAACGAAGAGAGAGTCTTGGCACTATGATACGTGTACATATACATGTGTATTTGTGGGGAAGAAACTGTTGAAGTTGAAAGCACACGGCTAATTTTTTTCAGGTGGATGATCAATAAGTACATCTCATCATATCGCTACTGTACAATTATGAAACTTGAAAACTGTTAAAATTTGATGACTGCTACTTTTATCTGAGATCAAATTTTTGTTTGAACATTTAACAATTTTTTGTCACTTAAGATATGGCCACTTCACATTTTTCTTTGAAGTCTTTGCTCTTCATAAGTGTGCAAAACCTAAACTACGAGTTCAAGCTATCCACATTTTTCTTCTCTCTCTTTAGGAATGTGAATTATCTGGTGAAAAACAAACCTGCATCAACTCCTGCGTCAGGTTCAAACCCAGCACCATCTGAGCTGGTGCTCTGCGCAGAGACAAGTTTGCTTGCCCAGGAGCCGTAGCCGTTGTCTGTGGACGTGGTGTGACTCATCCGCCGACCAACCCCCAACTCGCCGTGATCTCCAACGTCTGCGCTTGTATCAGAGATGTGCCGAAGGAGCTCGTTTCGACGACTTTCTTCAGCCTGTGAAGTGAAAAAAATCTTGCTAGATAAGTGGGGGTAGATTGATTGGAAAAGTTCTTCATCCCCCCCCCAACCCTTCTTTTGACACAATGTAGATCAATAAGGACGTAGGTTGATCTGATCATACCAGTCTAACCACCTAAAAAATCCAGCATTAATTGATTGTATATATCACTAGCCGCGCGATTCAACTGTCTGAGTCCAAAATTTTCTAAATCACTTTTTGATTCCTTTATGTGGTTATACAGCTTTTGATACACCTTATCATAAAATCCCAAGTTTGAAAGATTACTGCTTAGTGTTTTAATCCTCCAATAAATCAATCGCCTACATCATACCTGCCCCCAATTTCCACGTGATTCAACCGCCCAAATGCCAGTTTTGCAGCCTGCAGCGAATGGGCGGTTGAATCACGTAGATTCAGTGGCGTGTTGAGGAATCTGAATCTGTCGCTTAGGCAGTGCAATCCACACAACTGTGGCCTTTGTCAAAACAGACAGGAGGGCAACATCAAAACAAAAACTGTCTTTGTGAACTTCGACTCAGGTCAAACCCTATTGATAGCCAAAAGATTTGATCAAGGCAGTTTGCGTAATCTACGCCTAGGTTTGGTAGAGTAGTTGAGAATGGGCAAGATGACATCATAGAATATGTTAATACTGACTCGAACAAGTCGGTAAATTGTGGCAAAAGCTGCTGACCAATGAGTTTTTAAAAAGCCTATGATTGACAGCTAGCTTAGGCTTATTTTACATTCAATATAAACACTGGTAGACATTTTTATCGCAACTTTTCGTGTTTCTTGATTTACTTTAAGTGTGCGCTCTTAACTGTGTGTCTTGTATCATTTTTGAATCATTGATCAGTTGACCAGTGCTGGGTAGATACTTAATTTGTCTCTTGAAAAAGAGCAACTCATAAGCACATTCGCACCGAAAATGCTCTCTTCAACAAACCTTCAGCTTCAACTCTTCAGCTCCACACTTCCATTTGAAACAAATCTTCGGTAACATCTACCGGTACACAAGACAATGAGTTTGAATACAACTGCCCTCACACAGTGGTTACTTGTGAGTGTTGCAAAGAGAGTTTACATGACTTGGAGACCAGAGCTCCACAGTTACCACAGAGCAGAAGAGGAAAAGCAATTTTGTGATAACTAATTCTTTGATAAACTTGACATATTGCTTTCCCTTTACTGCAGACAGAATATAGGCAAAGTCCACCTTGAATCACATTTTAAAGCCTTGGAGGACTTTAGAGGGAGTATCAAAGACACAAAACCCAGTGGATGGGACTAGATAGAGTGTTGTGTGCATGGACTTGGAAGAGGATTTGTTAATACAGCATTGAAAGTATCTGCTGCACTATATCATAACAGGTTAAAATTAGCTGTCTATTTTTTTTTTACGTTGGGATGCATGGTCTTTTTTTTACCAACTCCACGAGGCCAAAAACAGTTCAGCACCAGAAGACCCAACCACGATATGTTTGGATCGCCTGAAAATTCAGCAATCAAAAAGTAAACACCTTCGGGAACTCAAAAGCGTGATTCTTTCTATGATAATCTCAGAAACAAGGAGTCAAAGCACCAAGATAGTTTATTACGTTAACAACAGGAACATACATTTTCTTTCTTGTTTGTAAAATATACTTAGACATTTCCTACTTCTACAGTATGTTTTTGATCGGGTCAGGGGAAGTGCTGAGTTGAAAAAAAAAGACTAAGTACCTTTAAAATAAAATGTTTACATCAAAGATCCGAGAAAGAATGTCTTTAAAACTCATTTCGCCCTTTAAAACATTAATATCTTAAGAATTAACTTATAAAAGACAATGAAAGTAAGGAAGGATAAAAAATTAATTTCAAATTACATGCATGTACTTTCTGTTTTCAACCACTAAACTTTAACTATCTTTCTAACTTAAAATACTTCTCGCTTCATTTTTTATTATGTTTGCGAGTGGCGTTAATTAACATGATTCAAACGCCAAGACGCCGTCATACTGTCAGTTAGGCGGTTGAATCACGCAGATTTTGGTATTCTAAACCACCTATGTCCAGTAACTTACATAAGAAAGCATTTTCTTTTTTAAGTTCATAAAAGACCATCGTCCTTCAAAATTTTATATTATATATCTGAATTTCAAATTCATAGGTACGACCATAAAAAAATAAAACAGTTTTTTGCTTCTCCTGTAAAATATGTCTCTTGGCACTTAGATGGTTCGGAGCACCAGGGAACAGCGACTCTGTTTTTAAAAAAAGGGAGAAAATCTGTCCAGGGAACAGCGACTGCGCTAAGGGAATATCTCGTCGTAGTGGTATTGAAGGTATCGATGCGGCCCCCCGACAGTAAAAATGTTTTTATAAACTAAATGCTGCGTTCTATAGTAAAAACGATATCAATTCGGTACCAGCGTATCAAAATAAACAAAATGGCTCGCAAGTGACTCTTTTTCCTGTTGTATTTAGAAGATCGGAAAAAAAAAGTATTTTATCAAGATTGCATAATGAATGTACTTGTTTCTTATCCCAACCAGGAAGAACAACTGTCAATTTTAACTAATCTCGTTATAGACCCTTACAGTCAGAATTGGAAGAGGCTAGCTGTAATGCAGAATCCCTTTGAAGTTTGCCACTGTCCAGGATTAAACTTTCGTTTGCAGAATTTTAGAAGTAATTATCGCCGCTAAAAACTGATTTCATTTTCAGAATCAGCATAAGCAAAGCAGCTTGCGTGGAACTTGATTTGATGCCATATATCTAAACTTTAGCAAACTTTGTCTTTGAAAGGTCCATTTTGAATTTGAAATCATGTATCCAGGTCACCCAGTGCATTGTGTATTTGATGTCACAGCTGCTAGGCCTTCACATTGCACTGTTGCTGACCGTGTATAGCCTTTGGCGACTTGGTCGAAAGACACTGTTATTCTGTTTATTGAGATATAGTGACCTACAGATTCTAAAGAATGTTTGAGGACATCATTTTGCAAACAGTTAGGTTTAATCAAGATAGAAATAAAAACTTTGTGATTAAAAACAGAACAAAAAAAAACAACCCCTAAACATACACACACACACCAAAACAAAACCAATTTTAAAAATCTCATAACAACAGTGTGAGAGAACAAACTTCGCTTTTAAAGCCAGTCTTTTGTCTAAGTAGGCCCTTTTTTAAAACCTGAAAATCAAGACAAAATGTCACATAATATATGGTCAAGCTGTATTCGATACTGTAGGCGATAACACCAAGATAAACTGTAACAAAGAAATATAGTAAAATACAAGTCGCTGTTCCCAGTTGTTGTTCCCTGGTAAAATGTCGGCAGTAGTTACTGTACCCTGGTGCAGCCAGATGGTTGAATCACGCGCCTAGCGATATATATATTTGGGAATATTACATTTGTATGTTTAGGGTGAGTCAAAATTATGTTGACGCCAGTATGGGAGAAACCATTTATAATCTACTGAATAGTCTCATCCTGGTCATCAGCACGATCAATACACAAAAACCAGCGATCAACAGTACAATTTAGATCCTTGGAACACATTTTTTGAGGAATTTTTTATTTTTAGATTTCTGTGTCAGAGTCCATTCCATACTTGTGTAAATATAATTTTGACTCACCCTGTACATTAGATTTTAAATATTTTACATCCCCATTGACACACTTTATAAAATTCAGGAGGCGGGCTGCTTTGACCTAGAAAGTGAAGGCTACCCAGGTTAAGAAAGATACAGTATCCAAGCAGAAAGACTGAGACACTTGATTAATCAAATACTTTTGTACCCACAAATCAAACTCACTTCTTTTGCATCCAACAGCTATGAGCCTAACCATGACACTACTGACCCACCTCCCCCAAACTTTATCTCACCTCCAGCATCCTCTGCACCTTCTGCAAGCTGAGGGCTACTTCTTCCTGGCTGTGGCTTTCTTGTTCTGCTTCACTGACCAGCCTAAGATTTGTCAGCGGGGTAAAGAAAGAACACCAGACTTAAAGCTAATACATGATCCTCTGTCAGTTTGCAATTTCCTTTGAAAACTGATAATACAATCAAGTAAACACGAAAAACTGACGAAGCTATGTTCATAAAACAGAAGAGTTAGAAAAGGAGGAGATGGGGGGTTTAGAAAGGAGAGAGGTTAAGAAGGAATAACACATTTTTTTCAATAACCCTACATTTTCTGTCAATTCGTAATTTCCTTTGTAAAATGAGAATATAATAATGTAGATTAAGATAAATATAATAAAAACATTGAACACTAACAAAGCTACGGTAATGAAGCAAAAGAGTATGAAAACTCTGATACTGAGTATGGATTATATTCGGGAAGCAAATAGGGATGAACAAATCTTATGTATTTCTGAATCACTAATTATTGATATGGTAAATTTACATCTCACTATCAAGATTATCTTTCAGTACAAATGCCAGTTTGAGGGGAAAATATAAGTCTTTTAAAATTCAAATATACATCTGCAATTACCTACAGATCATACTCAAATTTCCCACAGGAAAGAAAAAACAGGCAGGATAGCAGAGAACATGATCATGTCACATGACAGATAGGCCTGGAGAACCCTGAGACAACACCTAATAACAATCATGAAATGCGTTCCTTCGTCAGTGAAAAGAAAATATGGTCGTATTAAGTTTCGTACCTGTCAATGTCCTCTTCAGGAATGCCTAGGTGCTGCGGACTACGGCTCTGAACATCTTTGCCACTGTCACGAAAATCCTTGGGCACTGAGTCTAATGACTGGCCATCTCCTCTTGCAAAACTCTCTCGTCTCACATCATCGTCCAGGTTCATGGCACCAGCTTCATTAGACTTAGCTTCCACTGCGTGCAGACATGACTGAACTACAAACTCATTCACGTGCTCAGATTTTGCGTCTTGTCGGCTGTCAGATCCAAAGCTTTGTTCTCTAGAACCTTCTAGTCTCTGAAAAGCTGAATAGTCTGGATTATCACCAAACTTTTGAGTTCGGCGAAACTCCTCTGGAGGATCTCTTTCCTCATCTTCATACTTAGAGTAAGGGTATTCGTTTGATGCAAAATCTTCGTGCAGATTTTTCAAAATGTCCAGTTCTTCCAAGGCCTGAAGTGTCTGGTACTCTGCGTCAATTTCAATTTCTCTGAGCAACTCCAAAGTGAGAGGGTGTTGGCCTGAAGAAGTAAGATCTCTCATAGATGATGCTGGACGTAGAAAAGACGGAGAGATGAAGTTACGGTTTGAGAAAACATTTAAACTCGAGGGTCTTGACGGGTTAGTCCTTCTTAGTTGTTGCGAGTAATTGTCCCGAAAGTCTGGCGGTTGTGAATATTTGTCAAGTGGACTCTGTGACATATGGTCACTTTGGGGACTCTCTTCATATCTTGGTCTTGAGAGGTCAAAATGAGACCTGGAGTCTTCTAGTGCATTGATGGAATTTGAGGAAAATGAAAGTTTCTTAGAAGCAACATCCATGGTCATTTCATTCTGAGGCCATTGATATTGAGAATCATTCTTCAGAAGAGGTGCTGACGACGCATTCGATAGGTCAAAGCTGCTGCTCTGAGGATGGGAGCTTGAAGGGAGCACTTCCTCTTTACTGTGAATGAGAACATTTGGTTTATTGTACACGGGGTGAATTTTTAACTCTGACTTGTATCTCCCCTTTTCTAAGCCTGTAGAATGATGAGAAAAATACTTATCACTGGATGAAGGTTCAACAGGATTTTCAGAATGCCCTATGAGAGAATTCAGCTCCTCCATTGACTTGGCTAAATTCTTTTTCATTCGTTGTACTGTTTCAACAGGTCTCTCTGTTTTCTCCATCTGAGAAAATGACCTTGTATTAGAGTCAATTGAGTCTTGATTTGGAAATGTTTGTAGTTCTCTAGGCCGCAAGTCCATGGTAGAATGAGAAAGATTAGATTTGAACTTGTCTTTATTCTCAACATTTCGGTCATTGGGGCTGTCTATGGACAAGAGATAGCAAACTTGTTGCAGTTTTTCTACGTTTGATACACTACTGGAAGAAATTTCCCTGATCTTTTTTATAACTTTGTCGTACGGATCCAGAGCATCTGTTGCATCGATACCGGATTCCGTCTCTGTATCGGGATGATTGATGCTCATCATATGGGCAGCTGTGTGCGCTCCTGGAACGGTAGAGGGAGAACCCATGTTAAAATTGAATACCGAACCAGATGACAGTTTGTCTTTTGGGGTGAATGTAAGCCGCACAAACCTCTCGTCCGAGTCCATATCAAGAGACGACGGATTCTCTGAGTGACCGGTTCTGTAATGAGTGTCTTTCATGGAGGACGCTGAAGGATCTGCTTGAGCAAACCTCCTTAAACTACGTTCGCTCATCATTTCATCAGTTCTGCCATCATCAGTATGTATTTCCCTACCACCTACATCCCTGTCTCTGCCAAAGGATGATGTATGCAACGATGTAGAAGTATCGCCTCTGGAGGGATGCTTGGAATGACCCAACATCTCTGATGGATCAGAGAAAGCTTGCTCATCGTTCAGGGCCGCTCGTGGAATGCGAGAAGAATGCAGGCCTGACCTCAGTGACCGTTCTCCTCTTCGAACTTTTCTGGCATACGATCTGTCTTGGGGGACTCTAAGGCCACCATCAGAGTGAATGGCTCCTTGCTGCATCCCACTTACAGCTCTTTCATAATCGAACACACTCCCATCCGTACTTGAGCTGTTAAAATTAAACTCAACACTTTTTGCCCTCAACATTCCACGGTTCGGATTCCTCTTTTGTAGTATTTTATCGTGTACTTTAAACGAATCCCCTGTGGGGTCGGTGCTCGTTGTGTTTCCGGTTCCTAAAGAACTCGACTTCAAACTTCCTTGCCCCTGACTCTGCTGGGCTTCATAATCAAATGAACCTGCTTTCGTTTTCTCAGGAAATTTATCCAACAGTCCCGCCACCTCATCTCTCTGAGCCCCTGAAACTCTTCTAGGATTGGGACCTGTTGCAGAGTGTTCAAACTTTGTCTGATCTTTTCCATTTCCCGACACGAAGACCCTGGAGTTGTCTTGGGGAGGTGAGTCCACAAGATGTTGTTGGTGGGCATGATGACCACGTCCTGAAGGAAACTTGTCCTGCTGGGGCTGCTTGAACAACTCTGACTTCCAGCTCATCACAGCAGTGACCAGACGGAGCGGCAAACGTGAACTGGACAACACTCGTTGTAGTAGCCTCAGTCTGGAAGAAGCAGAAAACAGAAGCAACAGTTTATAAAAAACATACATCTCATTGAAATTATACTCACTTTTTTTTTCTTTTACAATAACTTGTTTGGCTGAAAGTAAAACATGCTAAAACAGTCTAAATAGCTGAGAATCCCCCCGCCCCCAACCCTTTCCAGTGAAGAACCCATAACAAGGTCAGTCTGACTATGATATTGTTTATTAGGAGGCTTTGTTATTCAACAAGTGATAAATAGAATCCTGACAAAATGAATAACTGTGTCTATTCAGATCTCAATAATTTAAAAGTGGGGTTTCTGATTAAACTTCTCCCTGGGCATTGAAGAAAAGTTCTCAATGAAATGTACACAGCGTCACTTTTCGTCCGATTCTGTTACTTTTAGTTAGGGTGACTCAGCAGCCCACCGGGGCTCCCCAACTCCGGGTCACGGGGTAAATAAGTCCTGAAGTGACTTTGCCGGTGTCGGTTAAGAAGTTCACATTTTTGTGTACGTTTGATACGATATAACTTCTTCCCCATCCCACACAGCAAACCATTACACTGATGTACTAAAAGCTCAATGTCTGGAGATTTATTCTGTGTTAGAACGGTTAATTTCAGTGCATCAGTTTAAGTTCTAGACAAGCGTTCGTAGAGTACCCAATTTGTCCTATTTTAGTAACAAACGTATGAATAAATTATTGTTTATTTAAAAACGGCACGACAGATCTCTCCAAAATCTGTATTAAACAGACTACGAATATCACGTCTTTTATCCTCATTCATGAGAAATTTTTAATCTGCGCAAGAAGTAATAGTCAAGTTATAAGAGAAGAAAGATGCAAATCTGCATTTTTTAACTACAGACACTCAGCATTAGCTCTTGTTTTACCATTAAAAAAGAGAAAGTAACTCTGCGTTTGTTCATGAATCATGCTGTGTCTGTGGCAGCAAGCATACAACTAAGAAAGATATATTATGCGATTTTTTAAAAACACAATACTGTGTAAATGCATGGTTAGAGATAAACTTCTTGTAAGGAATAAAAATAAAGTCACTTAACACATTCCTTCTTAGTTTATTTTGTGTCGGAAATATGTGCTGACACTTATAATGAATGTAAAGAAATCAGAACATTGTCAGCTATTGCAAAAGGTCACATAAACGAAAACAAAAGCTGGAAAAGTCTGGAGCTGATTCAGTGTCACTGGAAAGCTAGAAATTATTCTTATAACCCAATTACGAGAAGTCACCCATTTTATTCAGTCAACTTACAAAACCTAGACTTAACGTTTTTTTTTAAAAACAGGAATTTCTGGAGTGTAACAGATACTGTACCTGTATTACATTGTAGATGTATTCTGGCACTAAAATCGATTTGTACTTTTTCACAGAGAGACTTCAGGGTAATATATCAGAGAAAATATGCGAATGTTCACGATTATATTAGAGACGTAAAGTTGTACATACATGTATATTTAGAGGGATTACTTCATTGCGAATTGTGCGCAAGATGGTCAAAATTGCAAAATCACAGCTTTCTATTATATGCGCAGATACCATTTTTTCTAAGTATCACCATCAATGTTTATGTCATTCATGTTCCAAATGTTCGACAGTTTTTGTTGTGCCAGTTCTTTTTTATATTGATTTTTTTTCATTCACGGTAGTCAAAAAAATTGTACAATTTAGCATTGTCGACTTCAGCGTGTCTTACGAAATAACCATACAAATTACAATGTCCATTCTTTTTTGAGTCTCAAGAGTAGAAATGCATGCTTTGGTTGCATTAAGTGAAAATTACCATAAATACAAGGATACACCTAAAACTACGTTGAAAAGTACCAAAAATTAAGTCAGCCCAGACAGAGCGGCGACATGGAGCTGACCACTCCGACGTGATAAGGCGCTTGGCGGGAACCCCCCGTAGCAACTAAAATTCCACTTCCAGCGCGCCATGCGTAACAATTTTCTTATTATTGTTTTGACCCTCCTCAAAAAACAGATAAACAACAACAACAAGATGAAAGACACAAAATATGGAATAAAAATCAATTGCGCTGAAGCAACATTTTGATCTTTAATACCTTAAAAAATCATGCCTCATCAGAAGGAAGAAATATACAATAACTACAAAAGGCCATTCATTTAGTCTAGTCCAATCAACGCTCAGACCTCTTATTCCTGTATGATTGTACCATGTTGAAAGGGGTGTAAAATTCACACCATGTCATAATATAGAGTTCTAGATTCTTAAAACCTCTTATCCCTTTAAAAAAACAACAAAGAACTTTCTTTACTGATATAGGCCTACTCAGTCACATTTTTAAGTATACACATTTTAAAGCTCAATAAGAAAAAATCTATGCCACCAATTACCTTCAAATTTACACACTGACTACGTGACATACCTGTCGCTGGTGAGTTGTTTTAAGATTTCTGAATGTGCGAATGCTTTTGCTACTGTGTACGTGTTAAATGTTTTGTGCTTTTAGAGAATTACTCATGACACGGCAATGATTTGTTTAAAAAAAGGAGTACACATCAAAGTTTTGTCACTTTTTGTAACAATTCGCCAGTGATAAAATTTGTGTTGTCTACATTTCATGATGCCACGCCTAAAAGAAAATGAGCAAAATCAACTAGTTGGAATGATCCGCGGGGCTGTCTCAGTATCCACTGTTGCGAGACATTTTAATGTAAAAAGAACTATGTGCCCAATAATGGATCGTGAGAGAACAACATGATCATAAACTGATCAACCTCGCTGACTTGCAAGAAGAAAAACTACTCCAAGAGAGGATCTTTTTATACGTCAATCGCATCTACACAATCGTTTCAAAACCGCAAGACAAGCCAAAGACTTGTCAACCCAACACAAAAAATGACTGCACTAAGACAGTCGAAAGAATTTGGACTCCGAGCAAGACACCTAGCTCGCCTCATCAGATTGACACCCTACAACATCATCAGAAACAGGCTTGATTTGGCAAGAATACATTCACGTTGGTCTCGCCAGGTGTGGAATAACCACATGTTCTCCGACGAATCCAGGTTTCAGGGATGCCACTCAACTTTTGTGAAAATAGCTGAAAATCCACGCGCCCGGCGAGTGTTTACCCGACTTGCTGAGATTAGCGCAAATCTTCCGCCGTTTTTTCCTCCCCGTTATTTGGACTTATGGCGAAGTTTTCGTTTTTCCGTTATTTGAACTTTTGGCACAAGTTGTGTGTGTGTGGGTTGGGGTTTTTTGGGGTTTTTTTTCCAATCTCGATCTCAATAACAGAATAGCGGATCAGGATCAAAATCCCGGAAATACCGGAAAAAAGCGGAAAAGTGGCATCCCTGAGGTTTCTTTTGGAAGAAAACGCGTATTCGGGAGAGTAAATGAGAGGAAAGTTCCTCAATGCCTAAGTCAGGCCAGAGTTTTTGGTGTTGGAAGTATGATGGTGTGGGGAAGAATTGCTGCAGCTAGCAAGATCCGAGTTGTGACTGTTCGTGGCAATTTGACAGCACACCGATACGTTGACGAGATTCTTCGGCCACACGTCGTAGCAGCCATTCGAAACTAAGAACTAACCTTTGCATCGCAATGCCCCAGCACATAGAGCTTGTCTAACCATCCAGTTTCTATATGAAAACAGCATCCCAGCAGCCAGCTCTTCAACTGTGGCTGGCCTACTCACCTGATTTGAATCCCATTGAGGATCTATGGGACTTGCTCGATCGCTGCATTTGAATGAGACAACACCAGCCTTAGACACTTCCTCAACTTGAGAGAGCATTGCATGAAGAGTGGAATAACATCCCTCAACAGCCAGTGCAGCGATTGATTGATTTCAAGCGGCGACGATGTCAGGCCATCATCAATGCAAGAGGACATCATATGCGCTACTGATCGTGTTACTTTTGTAGACCACTCCCACACTCTTGTTAGTTGGAGATAAACCTGTTAGGTTAATTTTCCGTACTGTTGTTTTTGTAGTTTTTAAAACTGACTGTATTAGTGTTCCTGAAATTTTTAAGAATATCAACTAATTGTGAAGCAAGCTATTTTCATTTTAACACAGTGTATACTTAAAAATGAGACAGTATAATAAAAATAATTGCATTTGAAAAGCCTATATCCACTCTCAGACCTGCCACTCTATGAAACCTCAAAATCAGGATCTCAGGGAGAAAAAATCGGGATTTGGTGAAAAAAATCGGGATCAACAGTAAATCACCAAGGTGACTGCCATAGCTGACTTAAAATATTTCCAGGGGTGTCCATAAATTCCTTGGCCTATATGCCCTCTGTGTGTCTTTGTTTGCGTGCGTGCGTGCGTGCTTGTGTGTGTGTGTGCGCATGTGTGCGCGTGCGTGTGTACGGGCGAGTTATTATTATTTTTTGTAAATCCTGAAGCATCACGTCAAGTACTCCTAGTCCAAGTGTCTATAAACACCCCCACCCCCCCCCCACCCCTACCAATAAGTCCCGAAATAAATTAACTTAAGTTGACCCCGTCAACGGACGGTCCCCAACACGCAGAACTCACACGGCGATGATATGTCACGTGACGCGAATGCGCGATTGAAACAATTTTACTAACGGGTCCGACTAACTGCGCGTTCACACAAAACACTCGGATGAGTGACAGTCGTTCAACTTCTAGGATAACGGCGGCGGCCGACGACCAAATGTACCAACACATTTCTTATCCCTCATGTGTTCAAACTAAAGCAACGACAACAGCCGTATGTTAGTCTTGTCACCGCAGTTACTGTTAGTTGTGTAAGGGTTAGAAAGACTGTTACTCGTCCGAGTGTTTGATGTGAACGCGCAGTTACCAGACCTCGGACAAGGCTTGTTTTGAAAGTAACAGCGGAACTACGAATATTATCGATTATTAAATGTCCCAAATTGTAAGTTACCAGGCTATCATCGGAGAATTCTGAGTGCGAGAAAAGATCACACACAACTTGGGGCGAGTCAACTACTAAATGTATGTGGCATCGATATTTCGGGAAATAGAATCTAGTGCCCCGAGTTCCTACTGACAAAAAGTTTGACGGGTGCTTCCCGCGATAAAGGAGAAGGCAGAGTATGTTTTTAGAAAAATCCGGCACAACAGCAGACTGGGACAAAAAATCGGGATACACGCGATCAAAATCGGGAAAATTGGGATGCTTGAGATTTGGGGCAAAAAATCGGGATATCCCGACTAAATCGGGATGAGTGGCAGGTCTGCACTCTCTACAACATGCTCTGTGCACTTTACAAATATTATTACCCCTGGGATACTCAGAAACATTCTCAGTTTCTTCAAAAGCATAGAGTGCAAGCTGCAGATAACAGCTGTTTAAAACACACAAAAAACTGATAAGATCGTTCCAAAGGGGATAGACGGGGAACAAACTCGATAGTCCCATCTGGATGAAGTGAAAAAAATTTGAGCAAAGTGGCTTTTTCCAAGGACACAACATAAAGCCCTTAACAGGATTCGATCCCATGACCTAACAGTTGCCAGTCTAAGAGCCTAACCACTGCACCACCGAGTCTACTGACATCACAATGGACAGTACAGAGGACAACAGAACATGCCTGAGAGCCAGTGACCGAGCTTGAGACCTGAGCTTCCTGTCCACTTGCTGCGGTGTGTTTACATCCAGTCGGTCAACATGCTCGTCTCGTGGGGGCGGATGGCGAGCCAAAAAGACACGTACTGCACTGAGCCACTCTGTAGTAATAAAAAAACAGGAGTTGCTGAATCAGTGTTGACAAACCGAATAAAGCTGTTGCCTGCCTGTTACCTTACAGCATTGAGGGGAGAAACAAACATCTTTCTCTTGTCTGTTGGGTAGCATGTTGCCAGGTTATATTGTTTTTGTCTAATGTTTCTCTTGTCAAAATAACCACAGGAATAAGAAATGCTGAAGCCAAGAGAGAAGCCCGCAAGCTGCGCACATCCACAAGTAGAAGTGGAGCCTTTCAATGTTTAAAATGTGGCAAACTTTTCTCCGCGAGAATTGGTCTCATCGGCCAGTGTAACGTTTAAATTCTTCAAATTCTTCTATTTCACTGTAGAAATATTCCCCTCTGCAAATGCATTGGCGGATGAGCTATTATTATCATTATCATTATTATTATTATATTAAAAATACCAGTAGCAAAATGAAAAGAAGAAAATTAGGAGCATGAAAGGTTTCCAAAACAAAAAGATTCTTTCACAGTCCTCAAAACCAAAAATGAATTTTCAGAAATGAAATCACTTCTCGGCTCTTCATCTTTTCTTCCATTTTTTTTCCACCCTCTTCATCCTCCTCCTTCAACCTAGTTTTTATAAGAACCTGATAAAATAAAATTCTTCAACACACCTGCAGGCATAAAGACGAGAGATTCCATGCGAGCAGCGGGAACACCCAGCGGTCCATTCAGCTGGGCACCAGACTCCACAGAGCAGCGCTGGAGCAGACTGTCGGGCAGAAACTTCAGAACCTTTTTATACCACGTCAAAGCCTGAAGATGATAGAAAGTTAAAATAGAAAAAAAAAAAGATGAAACAGTCCTCATTTTATCTTGCATGTTGTTGCATCAAAGTTTCAAAAAGAGAAAACAACTGAAAAATCAGTGTATGAATAATTAAGTTATGCTTCCGTTTAAAGTACCCCAAAACAGCTTCTCTTCTGGTGTTGTTGAATAACTAGAGTGTGTGTCCTCAGTGAGTTAATTATCATTCACAAAGGCTACACAAGTACACACTGACTAATACTCAATCCTCTGCTGAATCATGTACGTGTAGTATTGGCAAACCAGTTAAAAAATGTTTAACACTTTAAGTGCTGTCGGCGACTTTTGTCGCCTGGTCGTAGTAAGCACTCATTACCGCTGGTGACTTTAGTCGTCAACTCGACCAGGCAATACTAAACATATTTAAACAAGAGCCACTGCACTGAAGTAAATACCAATGGAAGTCACTATATGTGATAGCTGAATGGTTGATGAAACTGAATTTTTAAAGCGTGTGTCTTGGGCTGCGAAGGTTTTCTTAATTATTTAAAATTTTTACTGTGGCTTCAGCATTCTAAACTGGAGTGGTACTTGAGGGTTTTTCACTATATGAGCCTTCGGAACTGTAAGCGTTAAACAATAAAGTAGAACCTAGACAGAGACAGCATTACAACATTCCCAAAAGACAGAACCTTGACAGAGATGGCATTACAATATTCTCAAAGATTTTATAGCAGATTTGAGCTCACATTCATGTGAAATTTCTAACCTTTTCAAACAGCAAGTGGAAGATATGGATGCTGACATAGAGCTGCTGCAGATGCTGGAGCTGGTAGGTGAAGGGCTGTATGCTTGTGGTCAAGCAGTGGCTAATCTCCGACACCTCGATAGACATATTGCCTTCGCGCCCAGCACTCCCCGAGCCTGGTGACTGTTGCAGGGATGCCTGGAGTCGCTGCACAGCCATCAGAATTTCCGTAGCCTGACTGAGTAGCTCCTGTTGGAACAATTTTAAGTCTAATTTAAAATTTCAACGAAGAATCAAAACAAACTGAGTCTTTAAAAAAAAAACACATGGAAAAAAAAAAGGAAAGAGATGTAAACAGAAAAAAATACATAAAGAAAAAGAAAAAAAAGAAGAAAAAATTGAATAGGTCTTTCTATTATCTTGATGGAAATTAGGGTCACACCAATATTTAACTCTACATATTATTTTTAAAGAGTACAGTATCACACTATTTTAACAAAACAAAAGGAGTCACCATATTCCAAGCAAGAGACCTCAACTTTTTGTAACCTTAAGACAATATCTAAGAGTTAAAAATTTAACCAGGACCGTTTTGACAACTTACAAGAAAGTAGGCACCATACCACAAAAAGGCACAAGATACAATTAGAAACGGCCTAAGACAACAGATTCCAGAAATTTCTTAAGCACTGTACAAAGCTGCTCTAATAATCTTAAAAACAGATAGATTCTCATGTAAAGTTGGAAGAAAAATAAAAGAGCAATAGGCAAAGCTAAAATAAATAGGACCCAAGGACCTGAGCTCCTGGTAAAAATTGTGTGCCTGGAGAAAGGTCCCAGCAGTTGGCAAAGCTATTTTTAAGCGACGGAGCGAAAAGTCCAAAAAAGCTGCACCTAGTAAAAAATGTTGTTCCATCAGAAAACATACGTTTAACCATTTCTTAACAGCATATTGAATGTATTTTATATTTTAAATCTAAATATTATTTTATTAATTATTTTTGCAACATACAGTCAAACTCAGATTTAACAGGACAAACGGGACCGGCAGTTAATTTTTTCCTGTTATAAGCAAATCCTGTTATAACCGTTAACAAGGGAAACTACCAATACCATTGCACCTTTAGCTTACTACAATATATTCGATTACCGCAGATCCTTTTCGAGTGGGCTGTTTAGCTAATACTGAGACGGAATCGATCAGTGACACAAACACTAAGGGGGGAATGTATGTCTTTGAAAGTTTGTGTTTAGGCGAGCGATCATACATTCAGGCGAAATGTCTTGGTTGAGACAAATTTTTAATAATTTGACGGATCTAAAGCAAGTTCATGCGCTGCAAGATCACTGTCATATCCTAGTGCGTGTAAATTGAACCCTGTTATAACCAGGTTCATATTACTTACACTTATAGAGAAAAAAAACCTGGAATTTGATTTATCACTATTATATTCAAGTTCCTGTAATAACACAGGGTGTTACAAATTTGTATGGACTGGACTTATGATACCCAAGACGGAATAAGAAAAGACGGGACAACTCTTCTTTACGTCATGTGACAAGCGCAGGCCCCTCCCACTTTTGCTGCTGCGCGTATAACTCGCTGGACTGGTGATAGTTTACATTGGTTACAATGCAAGGCTACTGATCATCTCGGGTGGTATGTCTAGCCATGGCCTACTAAAATTAATATATTTTAGCCCAGAGAGAGAGAGAGAGAGTATTTAAAGAATAAACGTAGCCTTTCTGGATCTAGATCTAGAATCCAGATCTAGAGAGTCTAGATTTTGTTGTGCACCCAGCCTAGAGTGTGCAGTTCGCAAAGTAGATCTAGATCTAGGGAGGCCCCTAAGTGGTTGGTGAATGACGGAAGGGCGATTCTTGATTAGCTGTATGTCTGTGAATTGGTGGAGACACTCTAGATCTATATCATGCAACTTGATTCATACTATCATATCAACAGTAGATAGATTTACTTAAGCTTCTGTGCTTGTTTCAATGGCTCCTTTTTCGGTGCACCTGTACAATTGTGGTCCCGTTTAATGTTTATATGACGGCCATTATTGTCACGTGGGAGTGAATCTAGATCTAGATATCTCTAGATTATAACTAGATCTAGATAGCCAAGATAATCTATCGAAGTGGCTAGCCGTACTTAAGTATGGCTAGACTGAGAGTCTAGCCGTACTTAAGTATGGCTAGACTGGCAGTCTAGCCGTACTTAGATCTAGGTTTGGCCCTATCGACTCAAGCCTGTTAAGTACACAAGTCTCATTAGATCTAGATCTAGTAATTATTCAGGTTCAAATACAAGCAAGTCAGTAATGTACCTTTTGGTTCTGTCTGAAATACAAATACCTTTTGGTTTTGTCTGAAATACAAATACTTTAGGCATTGCAAACTAAAAATTTCATTTACAATTCAGCCATCAATATTAAGTACGGCTAGACTGGCAGTCTAGCCGTACTTATCTTAGGCCCTATTAACATTAGAAAACAGGAGGTTTAAAATACATGCACTGTCATTAAGGCACCTGGTTTCGTCTCAAATACACAAATACCTTAGGTATTGCACACTAAAAATGTATATTTACAATTCAGTAGGCCTATTTTTTGTAAATGGTCAGTCTAGCCATCATATTAAGAATAAGTGCGGCTAGACTGCGACCATAATCTATTTCTAGATCTAGATAGCTAGAGCTATCTAGATCTAGATCTTGATTAGATCTATAATTTTAATTCAGTTTAGATCTAGACCTAGATCTAGATCTACATTCTAGATATATCTATAATCTAGGCCTAAATCTAAATAAGAAACAAATAAAAATTACTACAGGGGCACTTAGGCCTTGAGAGATTTAGTGCAAACGGGACCGCTATTGTACAGGAGTGTCATTGTTTCCTAGCTTCAGTTCATGGTCATTGATTCTGACATTGGGGAACAGCTCACTGTGTAGTTAATCTAGATCTAGATCTAGTTCTAGTCAACAGTTAGGCTGCTGGACTCTAGCAGTGGCCGTATCTTTAGTTTAAAAAATATCCAATCTATTTTATATTCTGTTAGACAACAGTTCATTGCAGAGCACCACTGGCTGTTCTGTCGTTTTTAAACTGTAGGATCTAATCTACTTCTACGTTTCGTAAACTCCTAGATCATCATGTCACTGAACATGTTCAACCCACTACCGCTTTCCGTTCATAAAAACCTTAACTTTCTCAACTCACTATATTCAAAATGTGAACAAAAACCAGTCAAAATAAATACCAGACAATTTATATGAAAAAAAAACAAGGCAAAACTGCCATTATGAAATTCAAAGTAGGCAGCTATTTCAGCGCGTTGAACAGTGAGCTCTTTCTTCCTGTTGTTTATTTACGCTTTAAACGTCCAGCTAGCTGGTTACCAAGGGGAGCCAGTTGGAACGAAAATGAAGCTGTTGTCTCATCTTGTCTTATTCTGTCTTGGATGATACTTCACGAAAGGTTAAGAATGTGCAAGAAATTGGGTCTATATACTAGGGTTAAAGCCGTTATTCTCTAAACTTTGTTTTTCATCTTGTGTTACAAAATGAGGCAGATCTTTAAAACTGCTCAAGATAATTGAAAAATTTAATTGAAAAATTAGCGTGTTTAGCATTGAATTTGCTACAAGAATATAATGGCGCTAATATGACCTTATGCAGTTGCGAGGGCCATGAAACCTCTACTAAAACAAACAAAAGCTACAAGAATATGCCCTTATTTCATCAAAACTTTGGATAACTGAGACCTTTCTCCAGGCTCGCACACAAATTTCTGAGACAAGCATTCAGTATGTAGGTGGGTAAAGGTAGCATAAGCCGAGGCGTGTGCTCAGGTCTATGGGGTTGAAGCAAAAAAATAGCGATAAAAAATGAGATCCAACTCTGTTGTGAACACAAATAGACTTCCTTACACAAAGACAGGGTTCATTACTGAACCTGTTCATCCTTACCTTTGCAGGTTCGTACAAAGTGGTCGTGAAATGGGCTCGGTACAACTCTGCCTGGCTGAGTGTTCTGCCCACAATAGGATGTTCCCTCAGCAATGGCTGGTAGTGCTCACGAATCTTTCGTTCAATCTGAGAAAAAACAAAAACCTCATTAATGAACAGGAGAATAGAATTGTGTTTTTTTCTGTGCACTTCCCCCTCTCTGAATACTCGATGCTCTTTACAGCAAAGATTACAACAATTACCCTCAATAAATATTTGGGAGGTGGAGAGGAGAAGAAGAATGACAATTATAAACTTTACTTATCTCATGAGAAGAAAGCATAAAGAAGAAGAAGAAGAAGAAGAAGAAGAAGAAGGAGAAGGAGAGGAGGAGGAGGAGGAGGAGGAGGAGGAGGAGGAGGAGGAGGAGGAGGAGGGGGAGGGGAGGGGAGGAGGAGGAGGAGGAGAAGGAGGAAGACAACGATGACAAAGAAGAAGAAGAAGATAAAGAAAAAGAAGAACAAGAACAAGAGGATGAAGAAGAAAAACAAAACAAGGAGAAAAAAGAACAAAATAGCAAAGCAAAATAGTAGATCATCATTCACCTCTCTCGACCTCTCCTGATGTTTGTGCATCTGTATAAGTCCAGCTAGCTTGACCTCTGTCTGCCTCCAGGTCTCCTCCAGGTCACGACGCCACTGGTCAAGCTCAGTGAATAAACCCCGTAGGTATACATGAAGGCCCTGGACCAGGTCGGAGTGAATGGCCAGCAACTGGCTGTCTGAGGCTGGGTGGTCCAAGAGGAACAACGTCTGCTTGCTCTGTGTTAGACAGTTTGGAAGAGTCGAATCTCTGCAGAAGTAGAAATTATAATAAATTCAATGTTTTATGTCACCATTAACACATTTTTGATAATTAAGAAGGCATGTATTGTTAACCATAACAGCTTATAACATCTGAGTTCAAGAAAAGTACCGGTATACAAAAAATGGTTGGCTATCTGTTGAATGCCAAATACTTAACAGATCATATTAAAGGTGGGGATCAGATAAAGCATACCTACACAGTAAATGCTCTTATTGTAGGGCAAAATAAGGACGGTAGACGGTAACACAAATGGGAAAGAAGAGAAAAAGGAACTTCTGGGGAAGCTTCCCCTCTAACCACTCGCACACCAGCACAAAAGAGAAACCAGACAGAAAAACAATCTACAAAGAAAAGAAGCCAGAGAAGTTGTGATGCATGAGAGGCAACCCAATAAAGACAAGGATGCAACCTATGTTGGTGAGAAAGCCGACAATATACAAAAGTCAAGTACACGGATACAGGAAATCAAATAAAATGAGTCACAACACGTTGGAACCAGGCCCTCGTAAATTTTTGTACATGTTGTGTTATTGGTGTCATCCTGAAGCATGTTCATTTGTCTTGATTTTTATGAAAAAAATCCTCTTCTATCTTGATCAGAAATTGAGATATCTGTGACTGAAATAAAACGTGTAGAACCAAATAAAAACAAAACAATTTAATGAGACTGCCAAATGGGTGGAAAATATTGGTATTATTTTGACAAGTGCCTGATTTCACTATGATGCCACACAAGAGACAACTCACTCAACAATAATATGGAACTTCTCTGCGAGGTCAGACAGCAAAGACTGTAGCTGATTCGATGACTGACCATCTGTTTCATACTCCTGCAAGAGCTCAACTTTGTCTTTCACACTTGGAAGCTTTGACAAAAGAGCCTGACATGACTCGATGCACTGTACAACCACCTGAAATTCATAATCAATGATAAAATACCCTATGTATTGATCCTTATGAGGAAATTTAGTTTGCAATAACATGCACAGCACGATGCGTCTAATGCAATATAATTCATCAACGCCACATACACAATGTCACAACAGTAAAATCTAAATAGTTGTAAAGTGTATTGAGCATGTTGTAGAGCATAGAAATGCCCTATGTAAATGCAATTATTAATATTGTTATAATTATTATTATATCATCATTATTATTATCATCATTATTATTATAGAGAGGCCTACAATCTTACAAATTTGACATTGTTTGGGGTCGCCACTGTGCAGAACCCTCTTTTTGAACTAACGTTTTCGTGTCTTGCTCAAGGACACGCTCAGCGACCAGACACCTAGATGGCATAAAATCAACATACGTTGACATGATATCGTGAGCCTGAACTCATTAACACAATCAGTCATATTCAAATCACTCAAATGTCAGCTCGGTGTTTGAACAAATCTTTATAGAATAATTAACATAATTAGGGATGCAGAACATTTCATCTGTGAATTGCTAAATCGTGTTATCTCCAACTGAATTCCTTTTGAGAAAATCAACATATGGTGTCTGGGATTGGTCATAAAAACTTAAACAATAATATTTACAAGTTTTACAAGACTGGGGTTTGTCTTTAAAAATTACTTCAAATTTCAGCTAAACCCTTTAGAACAATTCAGATGAGGCTTTACCCTTCGAGCCCATAGCAGGGTGAACTGGTTGTGCATCTCGGGCAACAATAACTCGTAGCATCGGCTGACCAGAGTGAGGAAAAAGCACTCAAATGTCAAGCAGAAAAAGGCACTAATTTCCCATCAATCAGAACCCTATTTTCTGTCAACATGCTATTTTGGGATACCAACATGTCTGCGCCCCTTCACACAGATTTTGACCACATTCTAAGTTGTTTTGTTGAATTTTTTCACAATGAAGCACACTCTCTCTCTCTTGACCAAAAAGCTCAGGAGGTCACGATTAGAGTAAAATTAGGATCAGCAGCCCAGGGCTCAAAGAGTTAGGATATATATGAACAAAAGCGATGTACAGTAGTCTTCGACTAAGATCCTACCGCTTACGATCCCAGTTCACTTAAGATCCCGCGGTTTTAAGAAAACATAATTTTTATTATACAAAAGTCACCCCTAAGATCCCGCTCTGATCCACTTTGAAGGTCTATATTCGGTTAAGATCCCGCATTTCTGATCATAATTTACGGAACAAACACCCAGGCGGGCACAGTCGATCAGCCAAGAGTGAAAAGTTGAGATCAATGAACTGCCCATCGCCTCAAATATCAGCCACTCTCGAGAACGTGATCACATAAAAGCGTTGTAAAACTCGATGAAACGGAACAATGTTTGTCCCAGATGGGATCACACCGATGTGTAAACTAACCTACATGTTTGTTTTCCCCAAACATCGCACTCACACCTGAGCTCTCCACCCAAACTTACATCACTTCGCTCCAGGCAGGATCACATCGTGCTGTGAACTCTTCCCTGACCATTGCAGCAGTTTTCTCTATTCCCGAGTTTGCGAGACAGACTGAATTTTAATTTATATGGTTACAACGTAATGGTGCTTAATGACAAAGGCGAGGGAACTTGGTCAGAGAAGGAAAGTTTAATTTACTACAGGTAAAGGGGAGGGGCAACTGGATAAGCATAGATCTTGAGACTCATGATAGGATAATAAGTGAAAATGGCACGTCTCATGCCACTATGCACTGTGATAGGTCATCAAGTCAACCACTCTTTGCTCGCTATATGTCATAAACCTACCCAGGGGGCATATCAGTTCATTTTAGAGTGGAGGGAGACCCTTTTACCGATAATGAGCCTTAACATCGGCCACCGTAGATTCTTCCCAGCGTTCATCAGCTAAGATCCTGATTCGCCTAAGATCCCGCATTTTCCTTGCTCCCAAGCACCGGGATCTTAGGCAAAGACTACTGTATCAGGTTTGATCAAAATAGGAAACAAAATGTTAAACTAAATCACGCCAGATATTATTCAGTGGTCCTGATCATAAGAGACAAGAGGTGAAAGAAAACTTGTTCAGCACTTCTGAGCATTGCCATTCAGTAGGGAGGACCAAACATTTTAAAATGTCTTAAACAAAACACAGTGGCATGTGCTACTTCAAACAGTAATTGCTAAAAACTAAAGTTTTACAATTGACAATTTTCACATGTTCTTGATCTACTCTCTAGTGGACATGACTCTCTTACAGCAATCATCACCTCTGTAAGATAATTTCATTTGGCTAGTGTTGTAACCTAGACATTGCATTTCACTGAAATAATACATGAAAGATTCAGGAAACATCTACAACAATGGAAGTCTTTGTTTCTTTTCAGATATGAATAAACTTTCACCTGACATCATATAAGAAATGGATCATGTCACAAAAGAAACCCGAAAAATGTGACATCTGGTATGGCACTCAATGGCAGCCTGATGTCAGAGGAAATATTTTACCAATCATGTTTCAAGGGCAATCCTTCCATTCAGGACAATTTGAGACAAACAATGTAGACTTCATCATACGAATCGGTCAATGAAATGCCAAACCTCTTAGTAAATGTTAAAGTACATGCTATTTACAAATGACTATCACTGGGCATAAAAAAAATAGTTAACCCATTGAACTCTGGTCCCCTGACCCTCAAAAGACCCACAGACCTGAGCTTTTTTAGGTTGCAACGAGACTCATGTGCTGATGCCTCAGTTCAGTATGTAAAAAGGTGAAGGAAGAGTACTCTCATGTCAGCACTTAGATCTAATGGGATAAAAAAAATCACATCAAAGAATCAATACAAGGAAAAGGCAAGAAATAAAAATTTCTGGAAAAGGTAGAACCCTTCAATCAGCCAGTACCCTCCAGCCACCCCACACAGCTGTTGTACCTGATAGAGGTGAAGCCAAGCCTGGTGACTGTACCGGAGAGTCCCACAAAAGTCCAAGGTCAGCTGACTCACGTCTATGTGACTGTACAGCTCTTGCAGGCTTTTGATTAAGACAATCTGCAGAGAGAAATGGATACTGAGAGAAACGGATACGGAAAGGGTAATTTTATGCAGAAATTTAATCACCTGGGCTCATATTCTTAGTACAAAGAGTACATACAATGAATCAGCAGAGAGTCATCAGCATATGACATCCATAACATTCTTTCAGTACAATATCAATGAATCTATCGTTTACCTTCTAAGCTTAATATCTTGGAAGGTTGAATGCCCTACTAGACACAAATAAGTCATTTCAAAATTGGAATATTTGGCTCTGCGATATTTATAAAGACGGAAAAAGAAGGACAGAATGCGGAGACTAAATAAATCAATAAATATATTTCATTTTACTGATCCCCATGGGGAAATTTGGGTGATTATGGCATCCCTGCATACACATGTGCAATCAAGGCTTCCATCTGAGGTTGAAAAAAAGGTTTCCATTTTTTCAATTTCCTAAAGTTGGCAGCTTTGCACATATTATTATGACTAAATATAGATTACGTTATGCAGGGTCTGGAATGTGACCTGTCAGGGCTCAAACCTCGTTCCGGTGACGGTGCTACATTAGGGTATAGGGCTTTTTGTTCTTTTCCTTAGAACTCTACTGGACACGAATCTGCTTAATACAAACAAATTCTCTGTTCCCCTGAAGTTAATTTTTTCTGGTTTTTACTGTATTTCCTTGTGTCATAGTTTTGTCCTTAGACAAGTGGTGTAAACGTACATTTTTTGACACATCATGGCTCGAGTCAAAACGGCATGATTGGAAATTCTTTTAGCACAGAGATTTCACATACACATATTTCAATGACATTAAATTCTAGTGTTCTAGGTGGAATGATTTTGGAGTTGTAGAGAATGTACAAAAGGGGAGGGAGTATCGTTTTGGAAGGAATACAAGACAACAGAATATTTAATTTTTTTGTAAAAAAATAACTTACAGGGTCCCCACCAAATCCTGTCATTTTTTTCAAGACCCCCCCCAAATTTTTTTCAAGACCCCAATTCGAGGGAAAAATAAGGCCACCGTGAGTCAAAAACGATCCCTAAAAAAGCCCATCTATCAATGATAAAAAGTCAAAATGTCTTTAAATGAATGCAAAAGTAAATTTTGTAGTATAGTCTTCAAACAATAGATGATTATAATACTGGCTTCTTAATTTTCAAGGGGAAGGGAGGGGGGGCTCATCCTTTTTTCAGGGGCATGTTACATAACGCGAGCTCCATTTATATTTAATATAATATATGTGTATATGTTCGTGAATACACACACACACGCACACACACACACACACACACACACACACACACACACACACACACACACACACACACACACAATGTAGGTACATTATATCCAGTCCACAATATGTCGGTGTGGCACTTGAATCTTGTGTGACTTTGGTATTTCAGTCTGTTCTTACTTACTTATATTTTCCCCTCATCATATTAGCCTACATAAACTATATAAAAAATGAATCCTGTTTGGAGCCTGAGAAAAGACCTAGAACCAGAATATCGACTGTCAGTAACCAGTCTGGGTGTCATGATTCATATAATAAACGTGAAGACGAAAACTATAGTTCAAACTCAAAGTAGAGTAACATAAGTAATAACTTGAATGGCTCAAAGAGACCTATTCAGTGTGAGAGGTGTAAGAACTGAGGGAGGGCAAGATGCAAAGACACTGAAAATCTGCCAATCTTGAACAGAAAGCTAAAATATAGATATAAATTACTTTGAACAGAAAGCTAAAATATAGATATAAATTACTATCACCCAATACAATGAAACGCACACACTTTAGTTCAATAACAAGGCATGATGGATCCCGATTCCACACAAGGCCTGCACCAATGCGCGCTTTGCAGAGAGCTCTTACAGTAGTATTTTATCAAAATTCTGAATGCTAAAAATTTGCTTCCAAGTTTATTCAGTTTTTGTCCTCTAGTGTTGCCTTCAGCCCCCCCCCCCCCAATCACCTTCCACGTGTGTATCTTATAAAGGAGTCCTATACTTCACAGCGCTCAGATCGTCAGTACTCACACGATGCCTTATTATGCGGTGTGAACATGCAGGTACACATCTGGTCACAATGGCAAACCTGACAAGATGCTTGTATAACTTTCTTTTCCTTTTTGTTTTTCACGAGTGACAGCACAGGACAAATATTGATTTATTTTCATGACGACAAAGTGTTTGTAATGCACAACCTGCATGTTACAAATGTTGCGTTCTCTATCAGACTATTACCGGAAAATTTCTGGGTAGTAATGACAGGGAAAGCAGATCTTGATGCTTCCCGATCGAGCCTCAGTGTCACACTTACACTTCCGCCTGCCGCCATAGCAGTACAATTACGTTTCCTCTTCATGATTCATCAACCATACTGTCTAGATAGCTGCACTTCTATGTTACACAGGTCCTATCCTTTCCCGACATACCGATCCATCACAAAATTCCCGACTTTTTCCCGACTTCCCGACCCATCACAAAATTCCCAATTTCCTGACCTAGTGGAGACCCTGAACATAAGACTTGACAACCCAAAAAGAAAAGCAAACAAGTAAAAAAAAGTCTGAAACAACACAGAAAAAAGACTTCCAAACCTTAAATAATGGAATTCTAGGTCTCTTTTTGCTTGGTTTGACTCCCAGAAGCTTCTTCAGGACATGAGATCTGGTCTTGCTTTTTGGCTTCAAGAAATATACAGCTCTTACAGTTCCTCTCTGCTGATGCTGAAAGAAATTATTCAAATTATCAAAAGATGAAAATAGAAATTAAGAAATTATTAAAGACACTTTTCAAAACCAATCGTCAGCAAAGTTTAACCAAACTGCAACCAGTGAAATATAAATACTGTATGGTCAAAAGTTATGGTATAATCTGAAAAAAATTTAATTAAATTATAATAAGAATACAGAATTGTTAACACTGATATAATGAAAAGGTAAATAGCTTTTAGGCAGGTAAATTCCATTTCTAAATTAACACAATATGCCATAGAACCACAAAAAATAGCATTCTGTATAATTTTGGTGATCATGGAGGAATAAAGAAGATGATCATTATGGAAATCACAAATGAGCAACAATGTTCTGTGACGCATTCATTTTTTTCATTTAATTTTGAACTAAATGTCTCAATGAAAGGGAACACACAAAGAACAGTACTAATCAATAACAAAGAAATATCTTTTTAGTAGAGGTTTTACAGCGCTCGCAACAGCATAAGGTCATATGAGCGCCAGAAGATTAGAGGTGTTACAATAGAGTAACAAACATAAAAAAAGAAGAAGGGGAGATAAGGACGTTAGATGTTTCATAGGAAAGAAGAAGCAAACCACACCAGAGCACCTGCCAACCACCCACTAACAAATAAAGAGTAAAAATATGAAAGCAATTCACCAAAATAAATGTCTGACAGGTATGTTTAAATGAACATTTTTCTTTGAACTTGTTTCAACATTGGAGAGCAGTGAAGCAATCTTTAACACTCACAATCTCATCCAAGAGGGAGCATTTAATAACTTGCGATCAAAACAGTTTAAAGTCTAAATCTGCGGGTGTCCAACTCATACTTTGTTGTAAGTGTGTTAAGCATCAAACCACATATACTACAAGCACAAAAATGTTCTTTTGTTTACCATGTAATTCTGTCTCATAGTTGAACACTTAGAGTTAGAGTACCGAGGGCTCATATAGTGACAAAACCTCAAATACCGCACCAGTTTAGAATGCTGAAGCCATGGAAGAATGTTTAAAAAATTGTAAAAATCTTCAAAGCCCAAGACACAGGCTTTAAAAATTCACTGAGGTTCATCAACCATTCAGCTATCATAAAGAGTGACTTTCTTTGGTATTTACTTTGACAGTGCAGTGGCTCTGTTTGTTGTTTATCAAATATGTTTAGTGTGTCTTGTTGAGTCTACGGCGACTGTTAGGAAGCTGTAAAGCGAAAAGTCATTAAAAGAAAAACTTTAGTACTGTCTGGAAAATTTAGTCCATGTAACAATATGAGAAAGTTAATAATTTCACACAGGACATTATGTAGAAGTATCAAGCCTTTATTTGCAGAAATTTCCAAAAATGAAGGCCAAAAAACCCTTTAAAAAAACATATTAACAGAACATACCTCAACTGCCTCCAAACTGTCAATAAGGAGATGAATAGCCTCAACCGATGCCTGACGGAGGTCTGCTAAGCATGACAGAGGAGGAATCTGAAGGGCAGCATTTGATTGATCTTTGTCTTTCTGTGTGTATTTGTTGATACGTGCAAGATTGAGTACCACAGCCGAAATGTCTTTCACTGTCCATTCTGTCAGATCGTTCAATTTGCTGGTTGGGATGGTTACGAGGCTGTTACCAGCATTGTCATGACCTCCTGCAAAGTATATTAGAAAATAAATACAAAGGGATAAAACTCAGTGCCAGTTCAGTTGAAGGGCTGCCCTGATGTTTCTGGTTTAGTTGAAGGTCTACCAATTTGCGCGGGCTAGGAACTTAAACTTGTGACAAAGATCAATTTACATTTTCCTTTACAGCTATACAGTCCTGGGACTGTCATTGGCGATATCAAAAATGTTTTGATGGTTGTAGTCAGTCGGGTGAGGTGGGGGGGGGGGGGGGGGTGAGGGAGGGGTTTGGGAGAGGTTGGCCCCATTGATTTCTTGAAAATAGTCCCATCTAGTCACTTGCTGTCATGACTTGCTTGTCAATTATACTTTGATCTAGTCTGAGTCTAACACACCAAAAGTCAACACACCAAAATAAGCAATCCACTCACTCACACAACACAAAAATGTTAAAAGCTACCCCCTTTGATCTAACTAACTGCCTCCAGCCCAGTCGTTACCATGACTAATTAGGTGGGACTTAATGCTACGCTTGATCATAGCAGACTGTGGTCAATCGGATGAAACTTACGGTGGACCACCCTCAACTAAATTGGCACCTAAAATTCTTTCTCAATGCAACTCCCATCCACAAAATATAAAAACGAAAATAAATAGCAAATTAAAACAAGTATCTTCGAAAGAATTCAGGTGGCAATCATGCATCATGATAACAACTATGGATTTCTCAGTGTGTGCGTGCGTGTGTGTGTATATGAAGTGTGTGTGCAGTGTGTGTGTGTGTGTGTGTGTGTGTGTGTGTGTGTGTGTGTGTGTGTGTGTGTGTGTGTGTGTGTGTGTGTGTGTGTGTGTGTGTGTGTGTGTGTGTGTGTGTGTGTGTGTGTGTGTGTGGTGAAACACCAAACTATTGTGTGGGCTTGCCCCCAAGATTGCTATGATAGCCATGAAAGCCATCCTGGGTCAAGTTAAAATGTACGACTAAAGGAGATGTGATGAAGCTGTGACAGTTTTTTAGTTTTAATAAGGTTTTACGGTGCTCGCAACTGCATAAGGTCATATGAGCCCCAAGGGGTGAATGTCAACAGAGAGATCCAAACGGGGAATAAGGATTACTCTGCTCACTTCTCTAGCCTCAATAGCATAAATCTGCTTTGACTATCAAGACACCCTGGAAATAGCAGTTCACAAGAGAGCGACAAACATTCAAAAGAAGAAGAGTAAAATGACCATAGTAAGGATGAGGAAAGAAAAAGCAGCAGTTCCCCCTATGTTGTTCTTGCACAGTATGGGCATATTAATAAATCAGCCCATTTACAATTCTACTGTGCATAAGAATATGTTAATATCGCCCTTTGGGAATGACCTAAAGACGCTTCAGTCAGTAGCACTACCCTGGTGGGGGGTTAAGCTGTGACAGGCCTAGCAAGCCGACAGTGGATACATGTATTGAAATACTATCAAAAGAAGCAACGAAAATAGCGAGCCACTCTTGGGATTGCACCGAACAAGATTTGATCATATCCAACCCATTCAAAAATAGAAAAAAGCTACAATAGATCTGGTGGTTCAAGTGGAACAACCTTGATCAGTCATTACAGGAATATGAGCCAAATACAGACAAGAAAAGAGAGAAAACCAATAACATGTAAAGAAAAAACAATCAAACTTATAAAACTCTTAAGCAAAGATACAAAAGCACAAGCAGAGAAAGACATCAAAGGGAAGAACTCGGAAAACTGTCACAGATGACGCTCGGTCTGTTGAAGAGAAATGACAAAATTTAAAAAGCAAAATCATGGACACTTACAGGTGAGGAACAAACAGAACAAAAGTTGTAAAGATCACAACATGAAGATCAGGACAAGCAAAACCCAAACAATAAAAATCAGCAAAACACCAGACCTGCTATAAACATCACACTCAAAAGCAGTAAAATCAGGCAAGTAGAAGAGTTCAAATTACATTACAAATACCTGGGAAAGACAGACAAAATTAGAAACCAGAATTTTTAAAAAGATAATATAATGCTGTGATTTATGAACTGGCACCATTACTTTCACATCCCAACATCACAATCGAAACAAAGTGCCAACTCATTAACAATTATTTAACAGCATCTATATCATTACCAACAGTGTGTAACCAAGCTTATGGACAATAAACAACAAGACTCACCAAAGTAAAATAACGCACTATGATATGAGATCTAAGGAAGATCTGAACATCACAGTAAAAGGCAGTCAGAAAAAAGATAGTCAGAGAATAATTAAAGCTTAAGTTGGCTCAAACCCCTGCTTCACAAGAAGTTATTGTTATTAGATGAACAATAAAATGGTTTGAACATCATGCCAGTGAAAGCATACAAGCAGAGATCAGTCAATGGGTACCTACAGGAAAAGGAAGACCCAGGAAAAGATGGATAGAGGGGGATCAGAGAGACATTAGAGGTAAAAACAATGAGCATATTCCTCCACACACATCAGGCAACGACAAATGATAGAGACAAGAGAGACTTGCTTCTCCTCTTGACACCATAAAAGGTAACAGAAGCAAGAAAAAAAGTAAGTAAAAAAATGTTTTAACTGAAACTGTTATCCACTTTAAATTAAAATTTTGAAATTATATATATTACAGTGTGACACAGTCTTCAGTCTACCTGATTAACTAACAGTCGAACCTACTTTAACAAACCTCTCTCTCTGAGACGGAAACCTGTCATAACAGAATCTCCCCGCAGCCACTCTTGAAAAATATAAAATTTTAATGGAAACATGCTCATCCAGGAAACAGAAATTCCCACCAGAGGATTTTACTGTCTAAGACGCAATATTATTATAGCATTGTACTCTCAGCCCTAATTTTAAAAACTTGCCTGAGATATTTAAATAATGTGAAAGTGCTTGAGTGGCGCTCCAATACTAAAACTTTCCTGGTACCCAGAGGTGTAAAATTAAAACAATGACCAATTTGATGCCGCCGCCCTGATCATACGGCCAGCCGAGAAAAAAAATTCTTTGAATCATAGAACATGCACAAGAGGTGTGGCATTGGCTGATGTGTATTTTTATTATTTTATACACTATACTAATTAATGATTTAATATATTCAATAATACAGTGGAACTCGGATTCAACGAGCTTATATTCAACGAGAACTCATGAGAGGAGGATTCCCAGTTTTTTTTCTTCTTTAAAATCAATAAAAATAATCCGGATTCAACGAGCACTTAAATCAGCAAGCTCAGATTCAACGAGGTCGCTTCCACAGGGTGAACAGCCCCCGCAGACGTGGCTTCGCTTATTTTTCTACCACAACAAACTTTATCCATTCCCTGAAACCATCCATTGATCTGCATTGTGAACCATTGTCTTAGCCGATTGCATGCGACCAATCAGAGGCCTTCTTTCAAACCAACACGCGTGTGTCGGAGTCGGATCGGCGACCTGCACACATGTGACTGCGTGTGTAGGTTCGGGGCACCAGCAGTCGGGGCGTGGAACGTCGCAGTTCTCTACCCCCCCCCCCCCCCACCCCCGGGAACTGATCATTATTACAATATTAAGCTAGTCTTGACGTAGATCTATGTAATGAATAGTGCGCTGGTCTATGGAATCAAAAGTTGCTGGGGGGCTCTCGTGGCCTACAGGTTAAGGTGTTGGCCTCTCATTCAAAGTCAAAGGTCCCGGGTTCGAATCCGGGTAGAGACCAAAAAATTTTCTTCTCTAAAAATGTCTCCTTTCACCTCCTTTCCTGCTCTCTAGCAATGTTCTGTTGTCTGCTTTCATTTCCACTTTCTGCCCCCACCCCCTCACCTCCTTTGCCCCCTCATCTGGGCTCCTGACTCTTTCTGCAGCCTTTCTACTGCCACTCCTTGGCTCCTCCTTACTGCTGTCTTTCTGCCACACCCCTGATCTTCTGGTAGGAAAGATCTACACCTAGTCTTCTCGGACAAGGGCGAAAAATCTCGGAGGGCCCGTGTGCAAGTAGCGCACGTTAAAGATCCCTTGGTGGTCTAAAATCAATAAGAGTAGGCTTCGGCCGCCACCCGGGCAAAATTCAAAATTTCCTACCACCTGAAAATATTAGGTGTGTCCCGCGCGCTCACATGACCTTATGCAGTTGCGAGCGCCGTAAAACACTTTACAAAAAAAAAAAAAAGTTGCTGTATGCTAGGCTCTATACAGCAACACAACTTAACTTTTTGGCAAATATTGAGATGAAAAAGGAGTGCATTTGAAAGAATCTGTCTTTTTTTTTGGACAGCTCATGATATGCAGGCATTTCAATTTCAGGCTCCACTTGTTACTTCTCTTTATACATTACTGCTCAGTGCCTGTAATTATCTACACAAAATCCCACGTTTTCTATAATGAACGCTCAGATTCAACGAGATTTTAGGTCGGGCCCAGCGACCTCATTGAATCCGAGTTCCACTGTAATTAAATGACTAAATCAACTAAATGGGTGGGTCTCAGGTGGAAAAAAAGATCATTCTTTTCTCGACTCTATGTTCCATCGTTTCTGTTTTTAATATATGTCAAACGGTGGTCCTATGTGATGCAATCACTTTAGGCAGTGGACACGTTGGCTAAGTATGACTGACGCATGATGTCAATGATGTTAATAGAGAGGGTAAGAATGGCACTTGAGACTGATTCTTTTGGTAAGTGTTTTACGGTGCTCGCAACTGCATAAGGCATACTTAGGTCATACGAGCGTGGGGGACACATTAAACTTTTTCAGTTGGTAGGAAATTTTGAATTTTGCCCAGGTGGCGGCCGAAGCCTACTCTTAATAATCGATTTTAGACCACCAATGGATCTTTAACGTGTGCGCAACTGGCAACTTGCACACAGGCCTCCGAGATTTTTTGCCTTTGTCCGAGAAGGCTAGGTGTAGATCTTTCATTTCAGAAGATCAGGGGTGTGGCTGAAAGACAGGAAGTAGCCAAGGAATAGCAGTAGAAAGGCTGCAGAAAGAGTCAGGAGCCTAGAAGAGGGGGCAAAGGAGGTGAGGGGGTGGGGGCAGA